CTGGGACGGTTACTCCCTCCAGAACCAGTCCATTTCCATGTCACCAACCTGATTTAAAAGATGTTTCAGTATCTGTGTCCAAGACATAGACTCTTAGTTTAATGTCAATGAGATTATGGAATRGATGCTGTGTTTTGGCAGTGTGAGAACTTCTTTCTGCCTGTATGGAAGTGCATTTGACCTCAAGAGAATGACATCAAATTTCAGCCTTACTTTCTTTATGCATCTTCTCAGAAGTAGCAAAGGGAACATTATCAGTAATACAAGGAGTTCAGAGTTTGACCAGATATGCAACATGTTTGCAAGGCCTGCCTCTCTGGAGTTATCCTTGTTGTCAATTCCTAGGGAATTCTCTTAGAACTCATTCAGAAGGAATGATCCATTTTATTTTTCTTTCTCTATTATCTCAATCTGCAGCAGTGGCTGATGTGCCTGACAGGCAAATGCCTCTCTGTTCCCTCTAAGTCCTGGGATCTTTAACTTGGATGGTTGTAATATCACCTGGGTGATGCCTACAGACTTAACCGAGCCAGTAGCAATTGTGACTGATCTCATGCCTTCCGCGTGGCTTCCTGACACAGTTTGAGGTGGGAGAGGAAGCACTTGTGATTGAGTGTGGGAGGGTAGCCCATACTTTTATCTTGCTGGCTGTGGTGGGAATGTTTGTGGATGTCCGCCAGGAAAATGCAGTAGGATAAACTTCATGGCTTCGGTTTGGTTATGGGCTAGTTGGAYAATGTTAATGAGTATAAGACAACATGTGGAGATTAATTCTTGTATAGGTCCTGGAAGTGAAGAGATGGTTCCGTTGTTCTAGTAGTGGATATCTGCCTGGAAAGACAAGCAAGTGGAAAACAAGGGCCAGAAAAAGGATCTTSCCTGTGCAAAAGGAAGAACACTAGATTGTTGGTCACTCTTTATATTTTTTTTCAATGTTCTCCTTTTCAACGTACGTCCAGGTTGTCTTCCTGAAGTGAGGAATTACTGATGTTCCTAGGATCATCTGTACAAAATGTGTCTGAGACTAGTCCTGTGTCTGAAAGGGTAGACAATTCTGTTTTGGTCTCATAGAGATATTCTTTCTAATAATTTGTTCTTCGCCTGTGCTATACTTTCTGATGGCAAGCAGAGTGTGTGAAACCACGGATGAGCATCTGTGTTTGAAACCCAGCCTTGCAAGAGGGAAGAACCTGTGTCTGTTGTTAGCAGTACTCATTGGAAAATAGGATATCATTCTTCTGTGACTATGTTTGCTCTGCAAACAGGAGTCTGAAGAGAAAGCTCATTTTCCAGAAAGGGAGCTGAGGTGTTGGAGAAGTGTGCAGGCTTTGCATGGCCTGTGGGAAACCTGGAGAGCCCTTAAGTGTGCAAAGCAAAGAGAAGTGAGGACGAGGCAAGGGAGAGGTGAGGGCAAGCTCACAGCAAGTTCTTATCTTTGAAGGCATATCCAGGTGTGCTCCATACCACTGTTTCTGCAAGWTGACTGGCTCATACACAGAGAGAAAGAATGAGTTACAGAGAAAGAATTCCCCAGAAAAGCAGATGTGAAAAAAACATCAGAATTACCAAGACTGAGGACTCAGGACAAGACAGGATGAGAAAGAGGCAGGAGAGGTTTTGCCTGAAGTCCTTTCAGAGGTTCATGTCAAGAATGGCATCGCAAAAGAGAAAACACTTTACAAAATGGAAGAAATCAAGGAGCAAGAGAACTGAATAGAAGAAAAAAAATGTCGGGGTGAGAAGAGAATGGAAGAACATGAAAGGGAAGGAGTAGGAAAAKACAAAGCTCACCAGCATGAATCATGGCAGCTCGGCGTGAAGGAAAGACAAGACTGAAGAGGGCGATTTTTCTCATACTTCATTTTCCTCTGGCATCTCTTCTGTTTTGTGAGTCATCCCGACCTTCCCACAAAGAAAATGGGAGGAACTCCCCCGTTATTTGCGTAGTCTACCATAACGTTTTGGTGCAGAAGGTGGCACCCAGATTCTCGTTCCTGTTGCCTCAGCAGGCTTTGTTGTTTTCGTGCAGATTTTGCCCCTTTCCTATGTTTTCCTGCACCCCATTGGTGCAGCCACCACAGGGCTAAGGTCATTTTCGAGTCCTTCATCCTTGGCTACAGGAGAAAAAAAAAAACAAACAGACGAGAGAGAGARAAAAAAAAGAGGTACTCGCTCTGTCACGACTGGATCGGTGCAGCAAGCGAGTTGTCTGTCTTYGTAAGAGGCAAGAATCTGAACTGTGTGTAGCGAAGCTTGCGGTTGTAAAGGTGTTATTGCGAGGGAAGTGGGTTCAGGAAGAGGCCCCCGATCCGTCCTGGTGTTCCCTTGTGAAACGACGAATGGAGAAATCGGCGTTGTCTGAGCCAAGAGGGCAGCCGGAGCGGTGGTGCMGAAGCGACGGTGTGGGGTGCTATTCGTATCCCGGGAGGATCGGAGTGGCGGGGAAARCGCCGTTAGTCAGTGTCTGTTATGGCGGCTGCAGATCTGGCAAGTCAGAAAAAGGCGTCTGCCTGGTCGCGTGTGAGGCGKCGGGTCACACGGTGTCGCTGCAGGCTCAGAAACGGCGGCGTCTGCGTCGGCTCCGCCCCGGTGCGGCGGAAAGCCCGGCTGTGAGCGCGGGGGGAGCGGGAGG